CGGCGCCTGGTACCAGGGCTTTTCTAGAGGCCAGAAGGCGTAGACGGAAACCGAGCTCTAAAAGGGTCTCATCCAAAGGAAAGGGTCAGGATTGGAATCGTAGAAGCCGCAAGGGCCTAGAGGAGCTGTGCAACGACAGCCAGCTCCAAGGGAGGAGGTCAGGAAGGGACGCAATGACCCGGTGGGGCCTAAGGAAACTGCAGGATTGCAATTTCAAGGGTGGTAGGCTGGGGTAAGGTGAGGAGGGTCAGCTGTAGCCTTAAGGGCCTTGGCTGGGGTACCTCCGTCTCTACAAGTATCCCTGACTTAGGGAGCTGAAGGGGAGACTTACCCAATCGTTGATGGTGGATGTAGTGTCAAGCGATTGGTGAGCTGGAAGGCGAGTCTGCTGCAGGCCAACTGGAGATGAGAGATAGGGTCCCAGTGCGGCTCAGACCACGAAGGGGAGCACAGGCACCAGGAGAGCCTATCCAAGTCACGGGTAGACTGAAGATGAGGGATAGGATCCCAGTGCGGCTCAGACCATGAAAGGGAGCACAGGCACCAGGAGAGCCTATCCCGGGTTTCGGCACCAAATGTAAGCGTTTCGTCGGGATGGGTCAGGACAGGATGGAACAGGAGTGAGTGGGTCAGGTATTCTGGCACTCGGGAGTCACAGAATACCCAGTGTTACACAGCTCAGGTGGAAAGGTATCCTGGAGCTCGGGAGCCAAGGATACTGAGTGTTACACAGCTCAGGTAGAAAGGTATCCTGGAGCTCGGGAGCCAAGGATACTGAGTGTTACACAGCTCAGGTAGAAAGGTATCCTGGAGCTCGGGAGCCAAGGACCACCACAGGTTGCAGTAAGCTTGGCAGCTTACAGCCTTGCCTCAGAGAAAGGCTTCTCCGGTGTGTCAGCTCCGCTCCGGCAGGACAGGGTCTTCCAGCTGGGGATGTTCGCCTAGTGTAGCAGTTTTGCTCCGCAGGAGGTTTCTCGGGCGAAGTTGCTACAGTTCAGCTCTGCTCCTGGAGAGCCGAGCGGAGAGCAGGGAGCCGGGCGGGAGCAGAGTGTAACAACTCCGCTCTGCCAAGGAAGGTTTCCCGGGCAAGTGTTACAGCGCTGCTCGCTCTGCTCTGCTCTGCTCTGCCCAGGGTCGCCTCTGCTCGCTCTGCTCTGCTCTGCCCAGGGTCGCCTTTGCTCTGTCGCAGCCGCAAAAGAAGATCTTCACCCCGAAGCTCATCCAAAGGTGTTTATTGGAAGACAGCTGGACCAGCCAAGCTGAACATACACAGGGTTTATATAGGGGTTCCTGGGGTTGGGGAAGTTTTTCCAGGGTAGGGATTGGTCCGATTTCAGTGCTGAGCTCAGATTGGCTAGAGCTCTGCTCCGGGATTGGTTACTTTTTACACAGGATTAGGGTCAGATTTGGCTCTGGTTTCAGGGCCAAAGTGTGTTTCTTTCTCTGGTCCTTTTTAGCCTTTTGGCTCCAATTTTAGGGCCAGGGTACATTTCTTTCACTGACTCTGATTCCAGGGACAAAGTGTGTTCCTTTGGCACTGGTTTTAGGGTCAGGGTACATTTCTTTGGTTCTGGTTGCAGGGCCAAAGTGTGTTTCTTTGGCTCTGCTCAGGGTGTGTTTCTTTGACTGGTCCCTTTTCCCTACAGTTGTACGATACTCTTTGAAGGCAAATGCGTCATGTTCTGGGATCGGCCCCATAGGACACCTAGCCGTTCCAGGGTGGCCCCCTTGCTCATACCCCGGGGAACACAGTGTACAGTGCGGTAGCGCAGCTGCAGCTGCAGCTAAGATGGCAGCGCCCAAAGGACTCTAGCAGCGCTCACACGGGATGAAAAAAATAAATCATTTTACCATTTTGCATAGTGCGCTGTGGAGCAAAAGACCCGGTTCCACCCAGTACTCAGGCGCGTAGGGCATTTAGGAGTAGCAGAATTCTCCCTCGGCTTCGCGTGTTGGACGCAAAGCAAGCAAGGATCTGCAGGGATAGCTAACGTGGTCCTCGTGACTTGACTTGCAGACCTTCGTCCCCTTGACAGTGGAATGGGGTGACTCCAAGCACCCTCGCCTTTCTGGTTTGTGCCCTGTTCCCCGCCATCCCAGGGAAGCCTTCTAAAGTAGCTAGAGCTGTGGCAGCTGCAGGAACCAAGGAAAAACAGTGCAGCGCAGAGGCAGGAAGAGGAGGAGGGAAAAACCCCCGCTGCATTGGCTATCAATCTAGAGTAGGGCGACCGCTGCCGCTGGCGTGGAAGGAAACGCTGCCAACCGCAACAGAACGCCACTCTCAGATACCTAAAGTGAGCATGTGTGGGGCTCTGCGCACGCCTAGTGGCGCGGCCCAATGACATCGGGTTTCGGGGGGAAATCCAGTTGCCCTGTTTTGTCAGTACCCAGAAGGCTGGGGAAGGTGCTAGTGTAGTACTTTAAAGTACAGTCTGGGACCGGAGCGAAAGTCAGGAAGAGGTGGGCGGAACCCAGAGACCAGAGCAGGGGTCGGTATCCACTAGAAACTAATTGGGTAGCAAGGGCTATGCTACCACCCAAGTCCTCACTAGAAAAGCTCCTCTATGAATGAGAAAAAAAAAAGAAGAAATAAAAAAAGGAAGGACATGACTGCTCCTAGGTATGGTGGAGGAGAAAGTTTATTGTAGATATGGGGCATAGTCAGAGGCAGGGGCATCCGGGAGAGTCCAGCGAGCCTGACTCTGAGCCTGGCCATATGAAGAGAGGGGGAGGGGAGACCAAGAGGCCAGGAGGGTAGAAAAAAAGAGGGTCAGGTAACCACAAATGTCTGGATTATAAGAGGAAAGGCAACTCGGGGAAGGGTAGTCCAGTCTCGGGGCTGGAGAAGTTCAGGGTAGGGGTTAGGGTATGTCACCCATATCCTGTAACAGCTAGGGACTGAGGACCACTGGGAGAGCCTGACAGCCAGATTCACTTTGATACGTTATGCAGGCAACACAGTTAGCCATTTGTCCCGGGTTTGAGACCCAACACTCCGTGCAGACGTTCAGTCACTTAACCAATATCTGTCCCCCGATGTGCAATCAATGGGTTGGGTCACACCCCCCCCCCAGCAAAAGTCTATTGTTGGACGCGTACTGCCATTTCTGGAATAGATTGTCGCATGAGAAGATGGACATCTTCCATGCTTTGTGTGGTCTGCATTGTTTTGGCCACTAGTTAAAGAGGGAAGCTAACCCAAAGACATACAAGTATTAAGAAGCCAAGTCAAGATCCAAAGCCAAGGTTGCTTGACTTCAAATCCCTGCAGGCAGCTCATTCTGGCTTCTGCAACATCAGTGCTCCATTGCCACGCGCAACCTTCAGGGCCCCCAGTGTCATGCTCTTTTACCCCAGAGCAGTGGTGGGATGGGAAGCATCCTGTTCACCACTGAGGTCTGTAATTTTCCACCCTGACACATCAGGGTAGGAGCCCACTTAACACACGCTACATGCTTACTATGTGCAAACTTCCAGACTAGTAACTGAGAAAGACACAAAAATAAACAAGGATGTATGAGTGGATTTATAACGTAGCTGAAGAAACAAAATAAAAACTTGCTTAACAAGTATTAAAATATTGACTTCCCATGTCTTTGTTCCTGTGTTTTCATCATCCCATGTCTAGAGAGTTCTTTAAGTATTACTCTAGGTGCTGTAAGTCTATCATTTAAAGACACAATTAAAAGTCAGTCTTTCAGCATCGTCATCTATTCAGTTAGAATTAACGTAATTCTCCAGTCCTTGTTTGTATTTTCAAATACTAAGGTGCAACTTTAAGATAAACCCCTTTAAAGAGGCACAGATACAAAGACCAGTGAGCAGATGCCACATTTTTGTAGAAAACAACGGTTTTCTACACAGATAATATAATCTTAATTCTACACAGATAATACAATCTTCTTCACACCTGTAGTTTCAAGTCGTATTCAAGAATTATCTTTGGTAATTTAACTCTGGGCAGCAAAAAGGTAAGTCGTTATGCGAATGCTGCCAATATAAAAAACTCAGCTTTAGGTTAAATAAGGAGCCACTAACAGAACATTTAAGAGAAATAATTGCACGAAGAAATGCCAAAACAGGAGTTTGGATATAACTATGGCTTGCTAATACACCTAATTGCATTTTCCCGGGGGGGGGGGGCGGGGATACGAATTACTATTTTTCTTACTCAATGCTTTCTTCGGTTGTATTTATTTATTTTTTTAGGATCGGCTTTCACTTCACAGCTCAGGCCAGGAACACACTGTGCAGTCCAGGGTGACCTCGAACTTGTGGGCAATCCTCCTGCCTCGGAGACTCAAGTGCCGAGACGACGGGAGCTAGCCACGGCGACTCCTGGTTATCAAAGCTACTTTTAAGAGACTTAAATATAATGCCCTCCCACCCCCGCCCCCCAATTCCAACCGGGCAGAGGCGCCCTGGCCGGCGCTCGGCACAGGTCATTTTCCCGTTGGCCCCGCGGACCGGGGACCCGGTCCTTTGACTGACAGGCACCTCTCTCGGTCAGGTTCGGGTGCTCTCTCTCCGCGAGCGAGCCAACCGCATTACCTGAAGAAGACCGCGGCCACTGACAGCATCCCCACCCCGCGCAGGACAGGCTCCTCCGCCCCGTGCTGTTAGGAAAACCCGGAGGCGCGGATCTCGCGTCGCTTCGGCACCACCCGGCACCGGCAGCCCGGGAGGCAGGCGGAGGCAGCGGCGGCGGAGGGGGTGGGGCCGGCGGGGGGAGCCCGGCTCGGTTACTGAGCATGTGCGAGGTGTTGCGCATGCTCCGTGAGGCCGGTCGCCTCCCATTGCGGGCAGCTCCGGCGGTAGCGGCGGCGGCGGCGGCGGTGGTGGCGGCGGCGGCACCGCCTCCTCCTTACACTCCGCGGGTGGCGGGGTTAGATGAGCGGCCCCAACAGCGGCGGGGGCGGCGCGGGGAGGAGGAGGAGAAGGCGGCGGCGGCGGAGGAGGTCGCTGGCTTTGTAGTGTCCCAGCCGCGGGCGCCCGAGGCCGCCGCTCCAGCCGTCGTCGTTGGCGGAGGCTGCGAGGGCGCGCGCCCGCCCGCCCGGTCCGCGGGGACGAGGAGGCGGCGGCGGCGGCGGCGAGGATGATGATGTGCGCGGCGACTGCCTCCCCCGCCGCCGCCTCCTCCGGGCCCGGCGGGGACGGATTCTTCGCAGCCGCCACCATCTCTTCCTCCCCGGCGCCGGGGGCGCTGTTCATGCCGGTTCCCGACGGCTCGGTGGCCGCCGCGGGGCTGGGGCTGGGGCTGCCCGCCACGGACTCCCGGGGCCACTATCAGCTGCTGCTGTCAGGCCGGGCCTTGGCCGACCGCTACCGGAGGATTTACACCACTGCGCTCAGTGACAGGGAGCAGGCCGGCAGCGGCTCTGCACACCCGGCCTCCAGGTGAGTCTGCGGGGCGCCCTTCCCTGCGCCACATTGCATGGGCATCCCCCCTCTCTCTCTCTCTCTCTCTCTCTCTCTCTCTCTCTCTCTCTCTCTCTCTCTCTCTCTCTCTCTCTCTCTCTCTCTCTCTCTCCCCTCTCTCCCTCTCTCCCTCCCTCTCGTGTGTGTGTGTGTGTGTGTTCGCGCGCGCGCGTGTACCGGTGCGTGTGTGTCCACGTACTTAGCACGGCGCTTTCAGTCTCCGCTGGAAGCTGATGGAAGACGCACTTGGTGATAGCAAGAGGGTGTGGTGACCACTGCGTGTGTGTGTGTGCGTGTGTGTGTGCGCGCGTGTGAGTGCGCGTGTGTCTGTGTGTGTGTGTGTGTGTGTGTGTGTGTGTGTCTGTCTGTCTGTCCGTCTGTCTTTTGGAGGGGAAGACCGTCTCGGATAACGCCAGGGAGGGCGACGGTGCTGGTCTGTCGTGACACGTGTGTGTATTGTTGAGAAAGGAGGCATGGCAGAGAGGGCTACGACCTTAATGCATGAAGAGAATTTGCAAGAGCCGTTAAGGGCATGTGCTCACATTTCTAGTGTCTGAGCTGCAATGCTGTTTGCACGCCCTCTCCCCATCACATTCCTTCCTATAGCTGCCCCCCTCCGTAAAGGCCGCCTTTCACGACAGGGAGCATAGCGATGTTTTAGATGCCAAGCCAGTGGCTTCATTTTAGGAGCCTTATGAATAAAGGATACAGATGGAGTTGGTGCGGACGTGATTGAAAGGGGTCTTTAGAAGTGCGGTTTGATTGTGGGGCCTTTGGCCTTGAAATGTGCTTGCAGCTGCTGCCTTGTTCTGACGTCCCATCGGCCATTTCCCTTCATCTTATGTTCTGTTTCCTGTTACTTGCAGGTTTGAGAGTACAGAGAGTTTTGTAGGGAAAATGGAAAAGAAATCCGAAGAAATTAAACATAGGACAACGGGTTAGGGTTCACCTGCTATCTATGTAGCTCTCAGATCTCTTTCAGTTAGACTGGCTGCATCTTCAACTTCCTTGATACAGATGTCAAATCACTTCCATTTTCTCAGCCGAAGACTCCTGCTGTTTTCTTTCCCATGCCTTAACTTGTCGTGTACCCTGAAGGAGGGTGACTGACTTGTTTCACAGCTTTGAGAGTGGTAATTGGGAATCACCTTTGTCTCTTCCTATGGCCTCTTACAGAACACTGAGAAAGCATAGTAGGATTTTTTAAAAAATGAGTTTGGTGAAGTTTTTTCTTTTTCTTTCCCTCATAAATCAGTGTGGCTTTTGATGGCTGTGTGGCAAAAAGGCAGTGTCAGATGTCCTTTTCTCCCGTTATGAAAGGTCTAGTCAGTAAGCCTAGCTAGTGTACCAGTATGTGTTATGGCTTATCTGTTGGAGAGAACTGTAAAGGTGGAACTTTATTTACACCCTTTCCAGATAGACCAGATGTATGTATTTGTCGACAGGATTGGGCTCATCAGTAGTTGTCAAGGATTTAAATGTGTGTAACTACACTTTGCTATTTAGAACGAGGGTAAGAATGTCACAAATGTGTTTCTTGCTAATGGTTTTGGAAAGCAGCACAAATCACATTAGAGAATTTACCCTGGGAATTAGGCCTAAGCTTGAGCTATGTGTATCTAAATTATTGCACTGTTCTACATCTGCACAAATTCCTCTTAAAGATTTAAAATTGCTTTTTATGTTATTTCCAAATATATGCAGTAATCTCTGGTGTATATTCTTGCTTTGACATTCTACTGCTTTTTAATAAATGGCTTTTTTGTATCTAGGACTGTAGTGGCAGTAGTAGACAAAATTAAATGTAGGCTAATCTACTTATAATTGGTAAATTTTAGTTTGATCAGTTTCTGAAAACTGTCAATAAAAAATGAGGAATTGGTTGAGTTAGCTCAAGAAATACAGAAACCAACCTTACTTTGATAATGCCTCCCAATGCTTGTTCACAATATTATAGTTTACTCCCCCCATATTTTCACCTACAACTCTTCTTTATTGTGAATTGGGTTAAATTCAGTCACTTAATTACAGGTGGTAGGGAAGAGGAGTTGGGATTTAGTGTTATTTTTATAGGGCACTAAGTTAGAGGAGATAGATGAGAATAGGGCCGGCATTCTAGACAATGTGAGAAAAGGGAGACAATAAAGGAAACCAAGAGAAGAGATTAGAAATTAAACACCCTAGGTCCTAGTAAAGGAAAGAAAAAGTTTTCAGAAGTGCTAGATACCGAAGAAAGTGGGAACAGCTTCCCAGCCTTGATAACTTTTGGGCCAAATGGTCATAACCGGGATAATCGTAATGAGGTATAACGGGGCGGTGGAAAGTGTTTGAACAACCTGGGGGAGGGGACGGGCGTGACATGCAGGCAGTTATTCAGTATTGAAGGGCAAGAGAGATATTCAACTATGGAAACCTAAGTAGAGAGGAGGATATTAAAAAGTTGAAGGAAGGCATGATTGATAGAAGTCAATGGAAGCAGGTTTACGATGACGACAGGTTAGCCATGGAAAAGCTAGGGGTTGATCTTCCCTTACTGTAGGAAACGAAGTATCTCTAAATATACAGACTGATAATTTATTGAAAATGGCAACTTACCTATGCTTTCTGGTGATCTGGATAGGGTAGCGTCCTTTTTGTTTTTTGGTATTTACTCTGTAAATTAGTGTCCGTGGTATACATTATTGTAGATACTGAAGGCAGAGCAGGTAAGTGCAAGACAAGATCCATAATGTTTTGGAGTGTGCGCTTGGTGGTGGTAACAGCTGGCCATTTCTTGTGATAAGTAATGATGGAGGAGATGCAACCAGTTTCATGTGATTCATAGTTGAGCATTGATAGTTGAGCTGCTATAGGTGATAGGGTCAGCAAAGTTCCGCTTAGGAACTGACATTTAAGTTGGTATGTCTTGCAGCTGGAGATTTAGAAGTACATGCGAGGAAATTAGAAAGGCCTTAAGAGAACAAACTTGTGCTTCAGGGAACAAAAACGTTAAGTGAATAACTAAGACACACTGAACAAATTCAGTTCTATAGGATTTTGAAGGCTTTTTACAAAGTGGCTGAGCTAAGAGTTTGGACTCTTGACACCAGACTGGTTTGAAGTCCTGACTGTCCTCTGTCATTTGCTCGTTGTGTAACCTTGACTGCTACATAACTTTCATGCCTTAGTTTTCTTAATGTTATAGTGAAGATAATAATAATGTGGGCTGTTTCGTAGATTAGATGAACAAATATTTGTAAGCACTTGGCACATTGTTATTAAATATTAGGGATTTGTTTTCTTTGGTGAAAGTGAGGGTTTGAGGATAGAGAGAAAAGCAAGAGTCTTGCCTGTTACTACTGGATTTTGGATCAGTGATTGTTAAATGTAGGAATAGCTCTTATGTATTCAGTGACTGAAAATGTATGCTTTTGAATGAGTGAGACTGATTGAAATTATAACATTTTCTTCGAAAAAGTGGCTGGCCAGGCAAGTCAGGAAAAAGTTTATTCAGTCCTCTGAATGGTAATATAACTTGACATTTGGGAAGAGTCACACTTCTATGGTAGAATGTTACAGACTGCAGACTGTCTTAGTTCAAATTCCAATTTTACCTCTTTTTTGTGTAAAGGTGGGCTGTTTGTGTGTGTCTGAGACATGTTCTGCTCTGTAGACTCTGCCAGGCCTTGAACTTGTAATTTTGCTTCTTTGACTCCTGATGGCTGGAGTTACAGTCCTGTGTCACCAGGACAGCCTGTATGTTTTGTTTTATGGTTTTTGGGGTCTTATATAATCCCAACAGTGTCACTGTGTAGCCCCCAAATAAAAACAATCTTCCTGGTTCAGCCTTCTGATTGCTGTCATTACAGGTGTGTAATCTGAAGGCTGCATACCCACACATGTTAAATGCCTTTTAAATGTCAGTTGATGTTGTTAATAGTTACAATTCCAATCAGTCTATTATAAGCCTTACTAATTAGAAGATAAGTGAGGAAAATTTATCGTTGACTGGTTTAGGATTGAAATGTGACTGGAGGTCAAAGAAAAAGAGAAACTGAAAACTTTTGGCTGACTGTACAGTGAAAAGGGAAGTGATGCCAGAGGGAAGTGCTGAGCTGAGATAGAGAGTGTGAGAATACTGGGTCTTGCAGTGGCAGGAGAGCACCCCTTCTGTAAACACTAGAGACCATTACGACCAGTCTGAAGATTCCTGGTCTTTTTCAGATAAGCTAATTAGTCCCTTTGCTACTGTTTGCTTTTTTAGAAATGTCATTTGGCTGGCATGCTAGTACTCTCTAAAAATTCCAGCAGTTGGGTGATACAGGAAGGGTGTGTGTGTCAGGAGTTCAAGGCCAGATTCTGATACATAAGTTCAAGGTTAACCTCTGGTACATGGTACTCCATCTCAAAATAGAACAGAACAGAATAAAAATGGTCCATCCTATCTGTGCATGGAATTTGGGTTATAAAAGGTTAAGTGGTCAACCCTGAAAATGTTGAGGGTTATTACCTAGAAGTAACCTTTTGTCTTATTAAGACTTAATGTTGAAGTGCCTAGTTTTGAGTGTATTGTCTGTCTGGGGGTGAAAGTACACAGGCAGATATTTAAGGAAAATGTTAAATGAAATCTCCAAGAAAACAACTGTTCCGACAAAGGGATAGCAGCACCCTGGGCCTGCTCAACGTCCTGAGTGGAGGTGAGGAAGGCAGTTTGTATGTTAGCATTTTTATTAATGTTAGAATGTAGATATCAGGAGGGAGAGGGGTAGGATCATTCTAGGATTGGAGAGATTAGTTAAAAGGACAGTATCTGGAAGAACAAGAAAAATGAAATTTTAATTGGGAAAATCCTGATGGTTTTGAGCTAAGAAGAGACATTATTACAGGAGTGGATTAGGGAACAATGTAGGCTGAATTAGGTATGTGTATCTGTGATTGTGAATAGGAAGTACTTTTCTTCACGCAGCTGCTTATGTCTGTGGAATCCTGTGTGCTCTATA